CATCTTCCACCTCTGCCTTGGAATGCCCATTTCCAAAAAGTTTCCACTCATCTATCAACATGCAATTTATGTGATTACTATTATGAAACCTCTCCTAATTATCCAAGGAAAAGATTCTGTACTCCCACTGCACTGTATTGTTTCTTAACGAATATCTCCCTGTGATAATGTGATATAAGAAATACATATTTTTGTCTCTGTACTCAGCTCCTGGCCACATCTCTTAAAACCTTTAAACATTTATTTAACAGCTAATATGGCTGAAACAAGCAGCATTTCAGCACCTTAAAGGTAAAGGAGTGGTCCTTACTTGTATATCTCACATTCACCAATATATATTTATCACATTAACAAGAGATCTTTCCATAAATATGTTTAAGTTACTTAGTTTGAAAATCTAAGAGACATAAATTTTTTCATAAAAAATGTGTTCTTGGCTATTCAAATTCCAACCCGGAAGTCAAAGAGCCATTGTCACCACAGTCAAATTACATGATCTCAAATACTATTACCAAGGCATCAACATTTACAATAAAGAAAAAACAACAACTAATTCCTAATTCTGGCATTTAGGACCTATACAATTAACCCCCAATTTTCCTTGCATGTCATTCCTCTTCTTCATGCATGTTACACTCCAGCCAAAATGAACTCTTCCCCTGTCCCCAGGGTCTACACTTACCTCCCTTTATGGCTTGGATTTTATTGTCTACTTTATTAGAAAATCCCTCCACCCAGTTCCACAAATTCAAAACTTATCCTCTGTATATCATTCAAATGACACCTCCTAATCCTTTCACATTTCTAGAGGTAATTTTCCCACCCTCTCAACTCCTATATCACTTTATCTAGGCCTGACACCATTTATAACTTTATTTCAAGAGTATCTATAATAATAAAAGTGTACTATGCTAATTAGACCACACATCCTTCTGGATGTCTGTCCTTCAAGACAAAGCTGTAGTGGGCGGCCACCACTGCAGCAGGGGCCAAGGCCCTTGCAGGAATTTCATGCATCAGGCCTCTAGTGTAGTTATGTATCTATTTTTCCCCTCCCTCTACTTAACAATAAGGGCAGGTTCTATATATAATTCAACATTTTCCAAAGTATGTACATGGAATTCACAAAATTAATAAACACTACAAAATAAACGTTTCATGTCAAAAAAGCTTAAAAATGAACATCTCAGAATTTCTAACATACTAAGGTATATTGTACATCTCTAACAAAACAAAGTATGCCCATTTCCAAAACCTATTTGGCCTGTGAACCATTTGGGTTTTTTTTGTTTGTTTTTTTACAGTGCACTGAGTAAGATTAATATTTCTATGGCGTGCAGCCTCATTACCCTTGGCACCTTATCTTGAACTTAATAGATCCTCAGTAAATATTTGTTGAATAAATGGGTAATTGACCCTAGTTAACAAAAAACTCTCCCATTAAGGTAACTTGCCCAAAGAGAATACTCCAGAATAACAAGAGAAAAAAATAGCAAGTGAGAAGGGAGTATAATATCCTCAGTAGTGCAGTAAGAGAAGAATATTTGCAACAACAGAAAAAGAACTTACTACCCCAGCTACTTCTTTATATGTGGAGGAATAATTACTCCAAACCACATAGGAATTCCTAGTCAGAATGTCCATCCTGAGGTGATCATTTAGAAACACACACATAGATCCTTTTAGAAAGAGTTGTCAACAAGGGCTGAAACTAAGAAGGAAATAGTATTTCCAGGATACTCACTATTAAAAATAACTGAATAATCTATTACTAATCATTTCTGTCAACCAAGGAAATATCCTATAGTTGATTTTGTTGTGTGAAGGTGTTTTTGTAAAAAAAAAAAAAAAGCAGTCTCATGGGATCAATAATATTTTAAAAGAAGTAGAATTAACACATGGAATTTCATGAATTCAAAGCAATTTTGCATTGATTTGACCTCTTTCAACATGGAAAAATGAATGCAAAATTCAACTTAATAGTGCATTAAAACCAGGATGCATAAAAACAAAATATCCCTGACTACATCCTAAAACCAGGATGCATAAAAACAAAATATCCTTGACTACATCCTGACCTCTGCTTCTCACAGTTCCCCAGCTGTGACTAAGAAAGGGAAGAGAAAAAAACATTCCCTGACTTGTCCTACAACCTAGATCCTATGGAAGTAGGAACAGGAAATAACAGCAATGACTACGGTTTGTGTGTGTTTTTTTAAAATCCCTCTCCTCCCTCTAAATCGAAGAAAACAATTTTCACTTAGGGATGAGAACTTATTCAAGATAGAGCCCGTTGTAGGGCTGAAAAGGGAAATATTTTTCTTAATCATACTGTTAAAATTCCATTGTAACTATTAATGTAATAATGCTTTTCATATTGATGAAATAACAAACTACATATGGTCAGGAAAAAGAAATTCACATGAGTTAAGATCCATAAGCATGTTTAACATTGCTCTATGAACCCTCTGGCCACAGAACTAGTCTGTTCCTATCAGCAGTGGTTTTCAACCTTTTCCATCTCACAGCACACATAAAGTAATTACTAAAATTCTGTGGAAAACAAAAAATTGTTGTATTTTTTACTGATCTGACAAAAAGTAGGTATAATTTTGATTCATTCATGGTGGATAGCTATTGTGTTGGTTGTTGTCATTTTTTTATTTGACAATCTAAGGGAAAAAGGTCAGTGCCCCTGACTAGTCAAGTATTGCTTATTTTAAAAATTCTTGCAGCAGCCCGACTGGTGTGGCTCAGTGGTTGAGCATATCAACCTATGAACCAGGATTCCCAAATGGCGGGGTTGTGGGCTAGATAACCAGTGGGGGGCGTGCAGGAGGCAGCCAATCAATGATTCTCATCACTGACGATTCTACCTCTCTCTCCCTCTCCCTTTCTCTCTGGAATCAATAAAAATAAATATTTTTTAAGTTATTGCAGCCAGAGGCACACTGGTTGAAAATCGCTGCTCTATCAGTAAGTAAATATTACCAACTGTCACATAACTGGAGTCACTGAGTGAAGTTAAACCCTAATTTGGTTTAACTACTTTACTAAATGGTGGACCCTAGAAAGCAAAATATGTATTTCTCTACTTCCTCCCCTTCCCACCAATGGGAGTAGAAATCAAATACACTTTCAAGTAAGTTATATGAACTCATGGTCAAACGTTTAAAGAAAAAAGAGACATAATTAGGAATGTCAAGCAGTATTCATTAACTCAAAGACTAATGCCTTATGAACTGTATGACAAGATAACTTTCCTATTAAAAGCTAGCGAGTCCAGTATTTTATTAAGTAAATTAAAGATCTCAACTTCATACATAGTTTTCTACCTTTATAAGATGTAAAAAAATAAAACAAGGAACTACAGAAACTCCTTTAGTACCTTTCCCAACAACACACAGTAAAAGCTTGTAGCAAAAAGAGTATCTCCATGCCCGTGTCAATCGATAAACAGATGGAATTGGAGTAGTTAATGTGCTCTCTCTCTCATCACTTAAATCTGAAGAAATGCTATGAGCATTTCCAAATTCTCTCTTGTAACTATAAATCCTTCGCTCACAACTTACTATTTTATTACAATTTATTATAACAATGGCACCTTATTCCTCTCAAAAGCATTATCTATCCAAAAGCTGGCAGAAACCCGAAATACTGGAACAGTAACAAATGTGAAAAGTTCCCAGTTATAAACACTGTGGCATTTACACTTTAGGCCAAAAACAAACAAACAAAAAATACACCAAAAAAAACCCCTGCTGAATCTTAAGCAGAAAAAGGATCCAATTGTCACTCAGACAGAAATTCTCTATTTCCGACTGCAGTCTTCTCACTTATTACTTCCTTTGTTGCTCAACATGAAACACAAGCACACACAAAAGGGGTCTTTCCTTCCTCTTTCTTCATATCTGTTTTCATTTCTTTCACAGAAGGAGATCCGTTCTTTTCACGTTTCATTGTTTTGTGGTCCCATTAGAACTTTCCCATCCTATTATCTCACACAGCGCAGCTTCTCACACTGGATTTCCCGAAATTACACCTGACGTCCTGGAGACTGGAAACTCCCAGGGAACCCCTCGGAGAGCCCGCCGTCTCCGCGGGAAGGCTCCTCCTGCCAGCGGGTCGCTGGTTTTATAGCGCACCCCACTTCTCGGAGGCGGGCACACAAATGTTCCTTTTAGTTCTGCCCCCCTTCAGTCCAGCGGGCTAAACGGGCCTTTATTATCCTAAAACAATACGTCGGCCGGCCTTTTCCAGTGTAAGAGTGAACGGGCTGGCAGGTGAGCGTCGCTTCCGGTCACTAACGGGGTGATCACAAACCAGGAGCAGCCCCGAGGTGCCCCGATCGCAGGTGGCCACGAGAAAATCACACGAGGGGCCCAGCCTGGGGCTGCGGACTCCCCTCTCCGCGCCCGAGCCAGCCCTTCCCACCGCGCATCCATCCCGCATTCGTCTCCCCACGCCCCGGCCTCCCAGGCTTCCTCTCTCCCACTTCAGGACTCCAGGCTCCCCTCCCCACCCGAACCCC